GCTGAGCTGCGAGGTGGCGCAGGCGCAGACGGAGGTGACGTGGTACAAGGACGGGAAGCGGCTGAGCCCCAGCTCCCGAGTGCGCGTGGAGGCGAAGGGGAGGCAGCGGCGGCTGGTGGTGGCGCAGGCGGGCGTGGCGGACGCCGGGGAGTACAGCTGCGAGGCCGGGGGCCAGAGGGTCTCCTTCCACCTGGACGTGGCAGGTGAGTCCTCTGGGGCAAGGTCCTCGTTTCGAGCTTGTGATGAGTAGCCGCCAGCTCGGTCCACCTGGCTGCTTTCCCTCAGATCTCTTCTCTCCTGTCTCCCACGCTCCCAGTTCACATTTTCATACCCTCTGGGCCAGGGGAGGCTGGGGGGGAAGGGTGTGTGCAGAGGGAGGGGCCGGTCCTGTACCCTCCAAGGCGGTTCCCACGCAGGATCGCTCAGTGTCAGGTTCCCAGCGTCTGCCCAGAACTTTCTGATTAATCTTGGTGTCAGGACTGTGTTCCCAGGCCCTGTGGGCTTAAGGAGACCCTGGATCTGCACTCGGGGTGTGGATTCCCTCTGCGGGATGTTCGGGGGCTCCCAGTGCCTGCCCTGCACCGCATGCTTGTTCTTTCTAGTGAGGGGTCGATTCATTCAGCCGGGGGAGGGGCATTCAGCCAGCCACTCACACAGGGAATCACCTCTAGATACAACTGTGCGTTGTAGGTGTCCGGGGCCACTCTTCCCTCTTTTGCATGGATATGGAGTTATCTGTGACCTGCAGCTAGCAAAATCTGGACACGTTTTATTGCAATGTCTGTGCATAGCGGAAAAACAGCGTGAATTGGTAGATATGTGCCTATGATACACACTTGTAAGGCTGGACTGATGTTTTTAAAGGAAATTTTGTTATATTTCTGTCTTATATTTTTGAGACAGAGTCTCACTTTGTTGTCCTGGCTAGAGTTCTGTGGCGTAAGCCTAGCTCAGAGCAACCTCAATCTCCTGGGCTGAAGCGATCCTCCTGCCTCAGCCTCCCGAGTAGCTGGGACTACAGACATGCGCCACCATGCCCAGCTAATTTTTTAATATATATTTTTAGTTGGTTAATTAATTCTTTCTATATTTAGTAGAAATGGGTCTCACTCAGGCTGGTTTCTAACCTCTGACCTTGAGCAACCGGCCCGCCTCGGGCTCCCAGAATGCTAGGATTACACGCATGAGTCGCCACACCCAGCCCATCTTTCTGTCTTAAAGTAGAACATTCTGTGTTAGAACTGGCCCTTGGAGCCTGATATATAGATGGAGAAATGGAGAGGAATGGGGATGCTTGGAGAAGAATCACTTGGCTTTGGTAAGGATGCGTTACCGTGACAGCAGCCATTGGCTGATGTGGGAACAGTTATTACGGAGCATTTCTGTAAGGAGGAGTGTGCATCTGTTCCTCCCTGGTGGGCTGAGAAGGCTGTGAAACACATGTGTTTTCCTTTTGTTGAAAGGGACTTCACGTTAAATAGGAGTGAGCTGCAGTTTCACCTTGGACTCATAGTTATCTGGACAACAGGGTTTGGTGTTGCTTCTGTGTGCAGCCATTTAACCTTAAGAAAGACATCAAGAAAACCCACCTGCGACGTCCCAGGCGGAAGGAGACCTCTGGCCCCGGCCTCGCAGCTGTACT